GCACAATTTCCGACTTTGTCAACGAAAGCGACAACAAGAAAAGAAAGCTGAAAAAGAATATAAGCACAGCTAAAGACTTCAGTAAGCAAATTCCGAGAAGAGGGAACGGAGCAAGGGAAGAATTGTAAACGGTATAGCAATAATAGAGCAACAAATACTGTACCAGTAGAGTAACGAATATAAACACAATTTTCTACTAGGTTACATTAAAAGATGCCTGTAGGCTATCCAAAATAAGAAATCAAAAACAAAAAAAAAATATCAAGGAAAGTGAAGAAAAAAATAAATGGGAAAAAGTAAAAGGTAGTAGAGGTAGTAGAGGAAAACGCTGATTGTACCTGCACGTATGTGTGAACACCTTTCATCAGCACTGCATTAACACAAATAATCTTTGCGTATGTGGCGCAAAAGTATCTACGAACGAGTATTTATGCGCGCCTTCTGTTTGTATTTCGGTTTGTAAATAAACATACAGAACTGTGCTAAACTGTAGCACGCCGTACATACCGCATGCCACATGCCGCATGTAGCATTTACCTCTTGTTTCACAAAATGGTAAATGTGTTGTAGTTTGTCGACGCTCATGTATGCATCTTAAGCTGTAATTTTCATATTTATGTCGCAGGCATTTGTACTCATGTTTTATGCATGCGTTGACATATTTTGTTGTAAATGAAATATTAAAAAAAAAATTAATAAAAATGAAATTATGCACAAAACGAAAAAAAAATAATTGCAAAAATACAACAAATTCGGGGCTTACAACTGTGCTGGAGTAACCTAACTCAGGAAATCCTTGAGTAGCAAAAGGCAATTGACTTCATTTCAATTTAAATAAAAAATTGGAACAGCTGAGGTGGAATTTTATTAAAATTTTCGTAAATACAATAATCACAAGTAAATGTCATAATTTTTGCAAAAAATTAGATTTAATATAATTTTTTTAAAAATATGTGAATTCTTCTCTTTCACTAAAAATGCTTCGCGTGGTTTTAAGTATTTAAAACATTTATCAGTCAGTAATAATTTTGAAAGCTAATTTGACCTATGCTGACTCAGAAATAATCAAAGATGAACATATCTGGCTATATGGTTATATATATAAATATATAAAGCATTTTAACCCTTTAAAATTTTGGTATATTTCCGATTTACAGTATAAAATTTTTCATAAGATGGCCTTTCGTTACTGATCTTCTGCATACTTTTAGAATCTCTACGCAACTACATTTTGCATCATAACAATTGATTTGTTATGTGTGTTCTCTCTTTGGTTAGCTTAATGTCAACTTACGGCCGATAGTGAATCTGAACCATATAGTGAATCTGGTATGTATTAAAAAGACTGGGAAACTACTTAACCCATTGCCTGACAATGTTGCGAAAACGCAACAATTTTAACGTTGTGTTCAGAAATTTTTTAAAATTTAATTAAAAGGTTTTTGTGCTTATAGTTTTTTTTGTACAATAGGACTATGATTTATCTACAATATATAATTTTTTTTTTGACCTGAGTTGTATAGATACAATTTAATGGAAGATTTTGCAGAGCCGTCTTTGTGTTATTTTAAAATTATACGACTTTTGCTTATTTTTATGCATGTGTTATATAAATGGAGAAAATTTGTTTTAATTTTTTACCTAAATCTTAATTACAATAGTGTATTCTAGCGAATCTATATAAATTGTAAGCTATTTGGTGATATATGTACGTTACACAAACTCTCAAAGTCAGGTGTTGCGAAAACGCAACAATGTCAAGAAACGAGTACTAAAGTTTTTTTCCGGTAAAGAAACTATTGCTTGTAGCAGGTAGTCTCAATTGATTTTTTAGCGTAATAGCAATTAAATAATAAGCTTGCTCCAACTTATCACGAAAAATATTCCCATGTTTTAAAATATTTAATGTTATCTTACGATTTTTTATGGTATTTCAGTATAATTTTATACTTCTTCTTAGAAACTGTACAATGTTGGTGTATAAATATAAATTATTGAATAAATACACTAAGACTTCTAATACAGTCATTAGATTCAAATTAACATTTCTAGTGTCAATTTAATATTCAGCCTTAAAACATTATTGTTAAAATAAGTGAACAACGAAAGTTTTTATCTATGTATGATATTGAAGATATTTTGATGGGATCTAATGATATTGATTCCCCTGATAGTACACGCATTACTATCACGCATTACTCCGCTCAATGTCGATAACCAGAGTAATGCGGAGGAATTAGATGACATGTTGATGGAGGATGGAGAACAACTACCAAATGAAGTAGCAGGTGAATTAGAAATGGTTTTCAATTATACGGCCGATGAAGTTGAAACTAACGTATCAAAAAAAAAACAAAAAAGAAAAACTAAAGTGGTCCAAAATTTATAAATATAAATGTAAATGTAAAGGACATATCTAAGCAGCTACGAGGAACAAGTGATGCGGTATACAATGTCGACAACAATGTATATTTATGTCGATGGAATGACAATTCTGTAGTTACAGTAGCATCACACCACATCGCAACTCTTCCTATGCAAACTACCAAAGGCTATATTAGAAAAGAGAAGAAAATGGGTAATATCAGCATGCCAAACATTATAAACCATTATAATAAAACAATGGGTGGCGTTGATCTCTTTGACAATACTATAAACAATTACCCAATACGGATTCGAGGAAAAAAATGGTACTGGCCTCTTATAACTAATGGACTTGATGCAGCGATGGTTAACGCTTGGAAACTCCATTTTCAAAAAAATGTTAAAAAAAGGCAATTATATCACAAGCTGACTTCCATGTAGAAGTAACAGAGTATTTGCTAATAACTGAGGATCAGATTTTCGACACCCAAACATGCCAACATCATCAAGATACGACAATGTTGATCATACAGTATCCTAAACACCTGACAGACAAAGGTGTAAATTGTGTCGCAGTCAAACCATATATATCTGTACCAAATGTAATGTTGCTTTGCACCCTAAGTGTTTTATAAATTATCATAACAAATAAATTAAATGTTCAAAAAATACAAAAAAAATAAAAAATTAATAAAATTAAAAACACAAAAACTTTTCGGTATGTGAACCTTTATTCTGACAATGTTGCGAAAACGCAACAGTGGGTGCAGCCTAAATTGGGCGGGTTAGCAAAAAAAAAAAATTTTTTTTTCTTAATTAGGAGTACATAAGTGCACAAGTAAAACGGCTTTAAGAAATTCCGCCTCCTTCTAGTAGCGTCAGATAATGGGTTAAGATTTTTAAAAAATTCAATGTCAAATAGACAAATATCAAAGACAAATATTAATCTTTTTTCTGTAACGAAAGATCCTATAATTATCTTTCTGTAACTATAACCTTTACTCCTTCCGTAACTATATATTTTTATTATTTCTATAATTAATCTAATATATTAGTTCGTATAAAAGTAAAAGTTAAGACTTGCTGGCCACTGTTCTGCCAAAGTTAACTTGCTATAAATGAAAATAATTAAATTAAATTAAATTAAATTACTTTTAGTTTTTTACAATGATCTAGCGATTTATAATGAATTACTTTTAGTTTTTTATAGTGATCTTAAGTTTATTAAACCCACTTTAGTTAATTATTTTTATAGTGATTTTAAGTCTATTCGACTTCAGCTAAATATTTTTGTTTAATCAAAGAATGAAAGGAATGAAACTTGATTATTTTTATCTATATTTTAAACTAATGAATAAACTGATAATATAGGAGCTAGTCAAAGAAGCTGACAGCAATCATATAATTGCTGGGTAATACAGGAAATTTATTTCACATATACAAATTTTTGAGCACCCCAAAAGATTTTTAAAAAATGGACCATTCTGAACAAATTTTTTCACAAAGTTTTATGCAGACATTGTTTGATTATCTGGATAGTGACCTTTAAGCATTTTGAGTTAATGAAGTAATTTTATATTGATTACGCAAACAAAAAGTACTGACGCCATCTAGAGAAAACAAATATATGTAATTGTAGCTTTGTGTAAACAAAGAACGCCATCTGGTTTGTGTAGTTATTATTAATGTTTGTCATGCTAAAATTTGCAATCCGTTAAATCGAGCAAAGATAATCTTTCTGATCTCGAGAATCAAGCTATATGGACAGAAAGGGTAAAAATGTTACTACATTTCGGAAATAAATTGAAAATAAATTAAATAAGTTTCTAAAAAATTTATAAACATTTTTTCCTCGCATTTTTTCAAAAAGAAAATTGACATATTTAAAACATTGGAGAGACAATTAACAAAAAAGGAATATGGAATGTGTTAAATCAAATTAATATAAAAATTTTTTTTTTTATTTTTTAATTGTTTTGTGTTAATTAAAAGTATGTTAAGTGACTAAGCAAATACACCACAGTTCGATGTATTATTTCGAGTATTAATAACTAATTGTTTTGCTAAATGTTTATCACCATCTTATTTCTCATCATCTTTATTATCATCATCTATATTCATATATTCATCTATATTCATCATACATATTCTTATGTTCTTCTATTGTGAATTAACATAGACATTAGTTACTACCAGAGACCATACTGAGATACGACAAAACTGTGAACGAACCAAAAAAAGATTTTCTGAAGAGTGGAAAAATATTTCTGATGAAATTCTTTAAACTATATGTTTAAAACTTTGACTTAAAGATGTGCTTCCAAATTTGATTTCCCTTTAAAATAAAATTCATAATAAAAAAATCTATAAAGATACAATTATATGCAATTGTTATTATTTATGTTATATATAAATAACCACATATTTTAATTTTATATACTTTATAAGTTAATTAATTTTGCTTGATCGAATTCATCGGTTTTAAACTGGTAATATAAAAAATATTGTGGCGGTCCTTAACTTTTACGTTTACACTGTTACATAGCCCATATATGTCAGTTTACACTTTACTGTTTTCTTGGTGTTATCTGTCAATTTGAATAATAAAACTATGGCAATATTTTATAAAATTGACAGTTGAGCTCAAGAACTGATTTTATATTTTCGGTATTGAATCTCACTGGTAAAAAAAATATTACTGAAATATACGTCGCACATTGGAAGCCAATAAGTAGAAAATTTTGAAAGTGCAGAACTTTGAAATATCTTTGGAAATTAAAACAGGTATGTGAAATTTTATTACAATTAATCTTTTACTGGATAAATTCTACCAATGATATGAAACAACATAAACCTTAGACATGCGATAATGCAAAAAAAATGGTGAAGACATAATAATTTTTAATAGATCTATAATAACTACAGTTGATTTTAATATGTGCTCTTTCATAATATTCGAAAACGTACTTAATGGTTTATTTTGGTTGGTGTCAATCACCTCATTTGTACCGTCCTATGTGGTACCTTGAGTCTCACTGTCTCTTTAAATATGATTTGGGTTTTATTTGGCTTATATTACTGTTTTATTATATTTGTTTATTGAATGAAAGTTAATATATTTGAGGACTATTGGAATTATTATAATGAATGGTTTACTGTGGCTGGTGTCAATTAGCACCTTTACGCTGTTCTATGTGTGAATATTTTGTCAGTCCCGCTATGGGTTTGGATTGGAACTGGAGTTTAATAAATCTGAATATCGTTGATACAAAATATAGATTCTTTAAAATATATAGTAAAATATATAAAATATATAGTTACTTTGAAATAATAGTATAGTATCTACTTTTTTCGGATGTCTTAGGTTGACAATTGTCTTTACATTGATCTTCTTTGGTACTGAGGTTCTTTAGTATACAACAATATACAACAATATAATTGTTTTGATTGTTTTTTTATCTCTGGTATTTAGTATTGAATTTCTGTTTAATTGACAGTTATATTTCTACCTAGTTAATTTAAGCCACTCTAACAGAGCTTAAAAAGAGATTTTAATCCTGATTGTGTGCAGTTGAGATATCTATCTCCACTTTTGATATCTCTTATCAAAAGTGAATATAGGTGCAACTTTTAACGGTATATGGTAAAAACATATACCGGTACCCTTAGGGTGATGTCCATAGAAATGTCAAAAATGGATAAACTGTCTGCTTTTTTATTCTCTTTAAGTTTCCCATAACTGCGAACCCTTGTGATAGTGATGACCGCGAGTTGATTTTAAACGCAGATTTTTGCCCTACTTTCTCTGACTAGTTTTGAATTAAAGTCGAAATATTGAAATGATTTAATTGTTGTTTGGCTGTCAATGAAAATAGCAATCTTACATCTATTCTTTATATGGTTTGCAATTAAACTATATGCTTCCATAATTACTATGTGTTCAGCTTGAGAAACAGTAGCTACATAAGGCAGTTGATTAGAGTTATTAAAGTATATGAAAACTGCTTTTTTAAAATCAGTCTCGAAACTACTATTAAATCAATTTTACTAAGTAATATAGTTGCCATTCAATTGTTCCATTAATATGCCAGAAAAATATATTTAAGTTTATATATCCTCTTTCCGACTTTTTATTTACATTATCCTTAAATCCTTAAAAGCTAAAATTTTTTTTATATTCCACCAGAAACTGTGTCATTGCTTCTAAAAATAATTTAAAGGTAAAAATTTAAACTAAAAAAACTTATTTAAAGCAACATTTTATAAATTATTTTTTATTATTTATTCCTAATTTTTTTTTTCACTTTAGTCCTTTACATTCATTATTTGACCTTTCCATTCATTTTGCTTGCATACAATATATCTTTGCTCTCGTAAAATCTTTTTCTGGCTAACTTTTGATTGTGTTTTTTGACAAAAAGCTTTAAGCCACTTTATTTCAAAGATAAATTGAGGCTGAAATTCTAGTCTGCAGCAATTTATATCCTGGAATAGTGAGTACGGAAATGGCGGCGTTGGGTCCAGCGGAAATTTAAATGGCAACACATTAAATGCTTTAGTTGCTGATTTTATGCTTTGTCCTTTTTTATACAAAAAAAAAATAAAAATAAAATCGAGAAAAAACCTTAAGGATGATAAATTTAGTACAAAGATTTTTTTCCGTGTTCTAAATAAAAAAAGTTAAATTTATGACTATAATTCAAAACAAAAAAATATGAATGTATGTTTGAAAACTGTCTTGATTTAAGCACTGATATAATGTAACAGTAGTAAAATGTTAGTATTCTCTTGTCCATTAAAACTGTTCCAGCCCTTTTTTATTAAGTAGATATATAGTAAATCATATTTAACTTCTTTAATTAATTATTGAAAAAGTCACTGTTGTGACATTTCATTACCTACTGTCACATTTGTATTAGGTAAAATAAAAAACATTTGTGTTCTTTGGTTTTGACAGCTATATATCTGGCTACACTAATCCGATTATATCAAATGCACACGTGTTTGAAAGATGACATTTCAGACTACATTTCTTTTGAAATGTGTTCTATTCTTTAATTCATCATTAAAAAAAAAGTGAAATATTTGAAGAAAAACACTATGTGAGACTTTATTTCAATTAAAACGATAAAATTGCTGTAATACATGCTGAGAAAATTCTACGCTTTACTATGAGGATGCTGTGCATGAACACTAGACTCAAAAGTGATTTGCTTGATACTGTTGAAATTTAGATGCAAAAGATGCACCTCGTTCTCTTCGGTTAATCATTAAAAAGGGTTGGGATCTTGCAACAGATGGAGCAAGGCTGACAAGCGAGTTCTTAGAAAATGGTGAAGGCACTAAACTTTAATCACGTAAAAGTTTAGAATCTTTTAAAAAGAGCAGAATAAACAAAGATGCTCGATGTTTGAGTGTCACGTAAATCAATGCATAGAAATGCTGCTGAAATGCAACGAAATCGAACCAGAGTATAAGAAATGCAATCGATCATGTTCAAAGACCGGTAAATCTCCACAAACCACTTAAACGTCTTTTGGATTTAGACTGCTAACAAGGTTATGTTTTGTGTTTTTTGGGATTGGAAGAGAATTGTCTATTATGAACTGCTCCAGTCTGGTGCAATGGTTAATTCGGTCTTCTACTTCTTTTATTACGTTGCCTAATGATTATACTTGACGGTTTAAGTGAAGCAATCGAGGAAATTAGACCACAAGTGGGCAACAGAAAAGGAATTGTGTTCCATTATAACTATGTCAGGCCACACTCATTTTTGATGACTAGGAACATGTTGATGGAATTTAAGTGGGAAGTTTTGATACAGCCACCGTATAGCGCGGATCTTGAACCATCTAACTTTTATTTGATTCAATCTCTGTAAAGCTCTCTTAATGGCAAAAAGTTAGCTGTCCAAAAAGATACTAAAAATAAATTGGCACAGTGTTCACCGATAAATTACAGAAGATCTAAGTTAATGGAATAATAAAGCTACCCAAAAAGTGGCAAAAGGTCGTTTAAAATAATTACCAATAAAAAAAAGTTCTAAATAGTTTAATAGGTTAATAGTTTTTAATAAGGAAAATGTTTATACAAAAATGTACTAAGTAGTAGTAAAGTAGTAAATTAGTAAAATAAGTAGTGATTATTTAATTGGTGTACTCATTTGAGTGAGTAATCGGATCTTATTGTGTGCGTTCAACAAGGTTTAGCTACCGTTAGCAATTAGCAAGTTCAGTAAATATCAAAATTAAATAAATTAAATAAAATAAAATTAACTAAAAGGCTGTTGTATAATAATATAATATAATTTTTTTGTTTTAGAATAAAACTAATTATCTTATTTTCCCAACTGATACAGTTTAGTTATTATGACAAATATGCTAAGGTATGACAATTTATAAGTTGTTGTTGACTATGTAGACCCACAACTAGTTGAATATATCTATTATCTATTCTTTGAAAACTATTTATTAAAGTAAGAGCTTTTAAAAATATTAAAATGTGAACATCTATAAAATTGTATTACACAAAACAAAAATGCAATAGCTTGCGATGGTTATTATTTCTAATGTAGACGTTGGCAACCCTTATTTTTTTAGATGTCAACTGACATTTCCACTGAATATTTTCGCATTTTACAGTACATTTCACCTTTAAGCACCAAATATTTAATATATCAGTGTAGAGAAAGCAAAACATTTCATCATTGAAATACAAAATATCTAATTAGATAATAGACTAAAATTGAAAAGTATTTGTCAAACTCAGGATATATATTAAAGAAAACCTGCGAACGTTTATCAAATAATTTATCGGTAGATATCCTCAAAGGTTAGTAATAGATGAATGTTAAAAGTTGATCACTTTTTGTCATTATCAAAAATACAAGAACATTTAAAACATTTAATTTTTTACTAATGAAATCGATTTCAATATTAAAATTGGTTTCTTTTAAAACTAATGGCGTTTTCGATTAATACATCTGCATTCAATCAAGATTTACTCGCAAGATTAAATCTGGATTCACATAAAAGTGAATCTTGATTGGAGAAGTTACCCCAGATATACCCTTCGAAAACGGAACAAGGCTCACAATATAAATAGTGAACATTGTATTACTTTTCATATTACATTTTCTAGTAAATTTATTTCCTTAGGTTGGCATGTGAGGTCCCATAGCTTTTTTTTTCTTTGGATCTACTTTTCAATATCACCAACAGTTTATTATTTGTTATATTAAATGATTTTTTTGAACTATTATATATGATTTTTAATTTTAGATTATTGTCAAGTATTATTTAGCAAAATTGTTTTCATAAAAGGATTTATTGGAGTAAAATCATTATTATCAACCAAATTAAAACCTCATATTATTCCATTCAATTTGTTTTTGTCACATTTTAGTACTTTCTTCCATAATCAAAAATAATATATAACCAGTAGCATACCACAAAAATCACTTTAAAAATCATTTTAAAAATGTTTAGCATAAAATGAAATTTTAATTAAATTTCCGAAAAATGGTTACTGAAATATTTTGCTATTGCAAGAGAATATGAAAAAGAAAATATAAACCAAATATTCCGCAGTAGAAAATTGTTGCCTATTTCCAGATACTTGCCAGATTGTGAGATTTGCGTTCATATATGGGCCACTTATGACTACGGCGGCTTTTAAGCTCGGTTATATGTTGAAGTAGTTGAAGTATCTGGTTGCATGCCAATACAGGTTGCAATTCAATCGAAAATTGTTACGAGAGCAATTTTCAGTGCAACTGCAATTGCAACACCAGCAGCAATCGTCGAAAGCACTTCAAAATGGCACTTTTGCCTATTGAGTTCTAGTTTGGTTTAGGATTCGAAGTAAATTGCGCAGTTGACATTTTAAATATTTGCTAAGATTAGTAAATAATTTTTACGCTACTATAGCATAAAATAGTATATTAATCGAAAATGGAAAACTTGTCGTAAAACAATAATAATATAATAAGAAATGAAGTTTACGGACCATATAAGCAGTAGCTTTTACTCTATATGTATACCATATGGATTCTTAACTCCATTAAGTTTTATAAGGATCATATAAAGAAAGATATACGGATGTCTAAATACATTTCTGCAATAACATGTGTTTAGGCTACTTTTAATTTTAGCGCATAATATTAGTGCTGGTCATATGATATGCCTTGAATTTAAGGATTTTCCTATGGAAGACATACAGTATTTATTTAAATTACTGTTTTTATTTAGTTAAAGATTTTTTTTGCTTGACCCTGATAAATGCAGTACACTACGTTCCATCTTCAAGGACTTTAGGCTTTTCTATAAATACATAGAGATAGAATCTCTACTTGAATGACCCATTTTTTATTGTACTTGATACTTTTTTTAATCTAGCAAGTATAGGACCCTATATAAAAAAGCTGTGACATCTTTTCCCATCTGCATAGCTTCAAAGTTAATAACAATCACTGATAAGTTTAATATTAAATTGCACCCCTTTTCTAAATGAAATATTTCATTTAGAAAATAAAAATAAAATACTTAGAGAGGATATAAGGTCTCTCAGTATTATCAAACTATAAATAATTAAAGTTACGATTATGGGATATGAGAATATTTTTGCAGTTTGGTATTTTGGTATATTTGTTATGTGTGTACAAATGTCTTTGTTTTATTTTTTGAAGAACGATATAACACTGATAAGTCATAGAAAGTATATACTTCCATACTAGTGTTGGATTTCCACTATCCAAAACCATTGTACTTTGTTTTATAGACTTAGAAGGGTTTAGGCTTTCCCTTGAAAGGTGTGTAAGTGCTTATTAAAGTCTTTCATACTCTTATCAGTAATCGCTTACTGTTGAAATGGTGTTGCATATTATCCGACTTCGTTCAAGAACTTATCCTATGACAAATTATGGGACGTTGTGAATGTGAATTAATTAAGTCCCACATATGATAATCAGCTATGCTAATTTTTTTAATATATTATTGTATATTATTATTATAGATTGCTAGTATGGATCTGCTTTCAGTACATTATGTTTATTTTTTTACATGATTTTCGGGGGTCCCAAGAGGCTATGGTATCATAGTCACCATCTTGCAGGCTAAATAACTTTCTTTGACCAATAGTTGTTTATTTGTTGGTGATTGGTTGGTTACAGTGGCAGGCCATCAGATAACTTTCCACATATCTTAATTATAGTATCCATTGTGAGGATTATTTCGGATTATTTGGGAGTAGTATAATATATTTCCTTTTTTTAATGTATTTCATTTATCTGGTTCTTATAATTTTTCTTGAATTTCTTAAAATAAATAAATAATTTATTTTTTGTATTATAATTACTTTCAAATGATTATATTACATACAAAAATAACGGTTCAATATAAAAAATTCAATATAAAAAAGTACTCATTTATTTAAACTTTAATTCGAAAATACAAAAAAAATGTTAATTTTATAAATTTTTTTCGCCAGCTTTCAAACATTGTTTTTACCACAAATAATGAGTCCAAAAAACAAGAATACTAAAAATACTGCACCAGTCATGACATCTCAAAATGCTGGAAAACTTATGGCCGCGCAAAATACTGCAACACTGATGACACCTAGAAAAACGAGCAAAAAATCGGTGATCTGCCCATTATGCATGGAGAATTTGGAAATTGATGACGTACAATTCTTTCCCTGTAGTTGCGCATATCAAGTGTGTCGATTTTGTTGGCATCGCATACGAACAGAAGAAAATGGTTTATGTCCAGGATGTCGTAGGTTGTATCCAGAGAATCCAGCAAATTTTACAGCTTTAACGCCAAAAGATGTATCGAAACAACAGTCGAAGAAGCGAAAAAATGAAAGAAAAGCTAAAACGACAATGTCCGTAAATCGCTTAGATTTAGAAGGTTTACGTATTTTACAACCAAATTTAATATTTGTTGTTGGTTTGCCGCCGAGATTGATTAAAGCTGATGTACTTAAAAAACAGGAATATTTTGGTAAATACGGCCCAGTCGAAAGAGTTGTAATTAATCCGCATACAAGATTTTTGGGTATACAAGGGCCAACAGTTGCGGTTTATGTTACCTACGTACATAACGAAGATGCTCTCAAAGCTATACAGTGTATAAATTTATATGAAATTGATGGACGAATTATTAAAGCTAACTTAGGTATGACAAAGTATTGTAAACATTTTATCAAAAACAATCGTTGCGTTAAAAGTGAATGCACATATCTGCATGAAATTGCTGCACCGGAACTCACATTTACTATAGAGGAAATGAATCAAAGAAAACATTACGAATACGAAAAGCGTTTACATGAACTTCTCGAAACAACGACAAAATTAAATGAAACTAAAAAAGCTAATTCCAAAAGGTTATCGGTAAAAACTTCAGATAAAGCTAGTCAAACAGATATAGCAGCGTTCTGTTGTGGAATTGCAACGTGTGAATTGTCAAAAACAACTTACCAGCGTAATGAAATATATGGCAGAGAAAAATATGGTTCAGAAAGTAATGCAACGACTGTTATCGAAGTTGATTCAATGGATCGAACAAATAATCAAGAAAACAATTGGCATACTATGGCTACAAAGTATCAAATTGATCATGATCAAACCTCCAAATATCGTAAGGATATTGAAGTATCAATAAATGGCGAAAAACGTGGAATATCCAAGTATTATGGAAAATCTTACATTCCTAACTACCTAAAAGATTACGAAAAATCAAATGTTGAGAATTATCAAATGGGAATTCATACTCAATATAAATAATTTCAGAATATCTAATAAATTTTAAGCTGTCTCGTATTTCTGACTATAATCATATTAGTACTGAAACATCTGGGAGCTCGAAATATGACTTGGTATATGGAAAATCCGGTATTTCTAAATATTGGAAACATAATGAAAAGTCTAATTCTTCAAATTATTGAAAAGATAATAGAAAAACCAGTGTTTCTAAACATGAAAATAAAAAGTAAGCAAAAAAAGTTTAGAAATTGAAAAGAAATTATATTAATAACGTAGATATATTTACTTAATTAATTACTTAATTAAAGATAATTAATTAATTAATTTTTAAAATTTATACATTTTTGCAGTTACCACCAAAAGAACATTAATTGGAAATCAAAACTAAAAAAAATCAAAAAATTTTTTCTCTTTTCACTTAATTTGCTGTTGTAATTAATTATTTTAAATTTTTAATTTTATTAAAGTTACAATAAAAGCAAAAATAAATAATTTGTTCACCCAAAAGAACTCATATTATTTTTTTAAAAATCTGGTTTTTAGAATTGACATAGAAAATTTTCTAAGGAAACCAGGCGAATACTCGTATTCGGATTAGAGTCAAATTACCGCAACCGAATCTCTTTTTGCCGGATCTTAATTACCAATTGGTTGTTTGAGTTTATTGTGCAGCAATATTGAGTATGGTTTATAAAGTTCGATAAATAAAAATTTATAAGAAATATTTGCAATATATAATATAATATGTTCCCCGATATAAGATATGTCTGTCATATAACAATCCATTAGGCCCCACCTTTGGAGTATAACTAGAAAGCAAGTTGATTTTACATGAGATGCTTCACCATAAACAAATGCAGGTATCACGGAATTCTGGTGGGTTGGCTTTATAAGGGAGTGGTATTATAGCGGTTGCTAACACGTAAAAGTACGGAGAGAGAGTATAAGCATTTATATATTTACTCAATGTGTAGTTGAATTTTTGTAGTAACCCATGTTACATGTGGAGTTGAAAGAACAGTAGAAGTTTAGTGGGGCTCTTAAAGAAAAAAAAACTGTGTCAATATATATAACTTCATTTGTTGATACATTTCCTTAATATGTGTGTTTGAGACACCTATGTACATACCTAAAATAACAACGGAATTATGTCTCTTCAGAACAGGTCATATACAGAGAAAACTAATTTTTGTTTTCTTTAGCTGGTTTCAGATCTAACATTAAATATTGAAAGAGGTTTTCATTCTCTAATTGAATAATAGGATTTATCATAATTGGGAAAAGTACTTCGTATATGAAGAATTTTCTTTTTACAAGTTTTTAAGTATTCTAATTTCACACATTCACAATGCTTATTTTATGTATGTTTATATAGAAAAACAATTAATCAATTAAGTAATAGGTATTACACTGCAATAAGTTCATTTAAATCGATCAACACACTTATAAAAGAAAATGAAAATAATTAATAAGATTATGCAAATAGCGTTTATTCGCTTAAAGATGAATTAAGTTTATCAATACATACACTTAAAAAGAAAAATACTACTAATGAACAACGTAATGAACGTTTAAAAATTAATCAGATTCAGCTAGCAATAAATAGAGTAGAATAGTGCAACTATGATAGCTGACGAATAAAATGTAGTAAAGAATAAATTCATAGATTGAGTTATGTTATTTTTTATTATTCAAGTTTTATTTAATTATTTCAAAATTCATTACTATTGAGAACATAATATTTTCTCTAACTAAAAATAGATTTTTATAAAGTTAAATTGATTTAAAATGCATTTAAAATGCAAAATCAAATAAATAAAATCTCGTTAACTGAAAAAGTTTGAGTATATAAACTTTATCATCTTAATACATTTACTACATCTGAATATATTTTTGAGTCAATATTTTTGGAAATAATCTTCATCACGAGTAATGGAATTTATTTATCCAGTATTGAACTTATACGAATTCAATCAGTTTTGATTTGTGAAGGACAGTAAGCAATAATTTATTTAAATTTTTTTTAAAATTTAAATCTTCAGTTGAATTTATTCACAATACTGCCAATTAAAAATGAATTGCATTTATATCCGAATTAAACGAAAAAATCTAAATATTCAAACAAAACAGTTTCAATATAATTTATGAAATATTTGACAAATTTTTATTGCCACTATTTTACATACAAAAACTAACAAAATTCAAATTGAAATTTTTCACATAATTTTTTTTTTGATTATTTTTGGGAACTTCAGTGTCATTCAATACTTTTTTTTTTTAGTTTGGTAGTTTGCAATGACAGGAAATGGAAAAAATTTTCTTTTTATTGAAAAAGTGCATATTTTTGATTGAATTTATTTTAAATAATAATAAAATTGATTATTTTTTATATATACGTACACGCGTAGGATATTCTCTAAATAAAAAATAAAATAATTTGTAGACAATTTAACACGTTTTTTAGTTCAATAATTTTATTAAAATTCAATCAAAAGAATTACATGAAAATTTAACAAAATATTGATTAATCTGAATGAGTTCGTAGGAACAAGGAAATTTGTATAATCCATTTAAGATGATTTTATGAAAAAAATCAAAATATTTTTTTAATATATTGAGATATGTATCTCTATTTGCGAAAAGATTAGTAGAAGTAAGAGATACTTTTGTTTCTTTAATGTAGACTGAGTTGGTATACAACTAAGTCAGGGCGAACTGGTACAATAGGACTCTTCTGGCCGCAGTACCGGCTGTTGGACAAGTTTTACTTCTACTCTTTAATAAAAAAACAAAAAAAAAAGCCAGGGCGAAGCAGTCCAGTTCCTTATTCTTAATTAATTTTGAAGTTCACTTACAAATAAATTAATAATAAATATACAACTAAGTCTGTTATAAAAAAAGTGTATTGTAACCGAAAGAAATGTTAATAGCATGATATTCGAAGTAACTGCAACACTAAAATCCTCCTGTTGAAAAACACGTAGAGTTTTGCTAATGAATTATAAATGACACTGAGACGTTTTCCAACTTATGTCACTAATTATCACGTCCTGCGTTACTATCTGAATAGGAGAGATCTTTTTAAAAAGACACAATGTTAGACACTATACTTATAAACACATGAGACTTTAGGTAGGTAGTTAGATGGGTTACACCGGCGATTCCAATTCATCCGGCCTGGATTACTATTTAAATAAAAGATATTGTTTTGAAAAGACAGAATGTCAGCTTTACTTATAAACACATGAGACTATATGTAGGTAGGTAGGTTATACCGGCGATCCCAATAGATCCACTTAGGCCTATAGGCCCATTGTATTACTGTAAAATTAAAATAAGTGATAAGGCGGTGCTTTCATCGTCCTTTGCACCACTGCGGCAGACAGATTTAGTCTTCTAACATCTAAAATAAAATGATCTACAAAATGAGACTTTAAGTCATATCTCAATTTGATTTCACCAGAAAATGAATATTACTTTGGCTGTATTACCGGCTAGCATTGTGTTTTGTCAAAATTAATGACAAAATAAGTTGTCGCATATGAGCGACCAATAGAGGTTAAAATCTTTTTCACCGGTTGCGAAGCTAAAGAAAAATTGGTGTAGAAGTTGAAGGCTATACCTAAATGAGCCTATGAAAACTTTATAGAAGATTAGATCACCATGCCATGATTGTACAAATTTTAATTAAATTAAGGTATGGACCTTAATTAGCCTAAGGAACGTTACTAGAGGATGGGATCTCAATGCCAAATAGTTGTATATATTTTAGTTAAGAGATTGTGATGATTTTTTTATGTTCTATTTAAATATTCCGAAAACTTATTTATAATGCATAACATATCAGCGTATATCAATAAAGAGATATAAGATAAGCTAAAAATAATAATAAATTTGTAGTTAATAATTAAGTAATTTTTACTAAATAAACAGAATTTTTAACAATATATGAAAAAATATGTACTCAAATATTTATTATATAAATATCTTGAACTTACTAATAAATAAATTTTAACGTCTGCATATTTACCTAAAAATAAAGAAAAATGTATTTAATATTTTTCAAAATTGAGTATATAATAAAATAAATAAAACTAATGTTATATTGTTTTTTAGATTTTATGAATGGTTTCATATGGATGAGTGTCAAAATTGAAGTGCTGATAAATTTTTGTAAAAAAATATAACTTTTCACAAAATTCATATTCCAATACTGAAATAATATGATTGTCTTAGCATATTTACATTTCAGATTTTTCAATCTATATATTTTTATATTGTATACATAGTAAATATCTATATATTTGCATTTTTATAACTTAAATCAAATATTGAAAGTTTTTAGTTCTTGATTGCTTGAAAAATCATATCAGCTTGCATTTCAGTTGATTTTAGATAAAAATGCATACAGCTTTACAAATCGGATTTTATTTTAAATTTTTTATTTATTTGAAATAATTTTAGAAAATGTGAAGCCTGCAGTAAAAAATTTAAGGAGTAAAGAATATGTTATGTTCCGTTATGAACTGTTGAAAAAACAAAACAATATTCATTATTGCCATAAATTTTTATTTATTTAATTAATTTTGATTTCTACTGTAAAAGAGTAGAATCCGCTTAATATTTTTCAAGTTTTTATAAGAAATAATTGTATAAGAATGCTTTGAACTTTTGTTATCTACAATGTCTTTTTCACCTTCTTAAAATTGTAGATTACACTTACAATCACATGATTGTACTATAGCCTTTCGCATCATAGCGGACAGATAGTTCTCACACATATTACTGGCAGTGCAATCAATATCAGGGATCGATTATAGTTAATTCAAAAATTTTCATGAAAAATAGCAACAGAAAAAAGCAAAAATAATTCGTTTTATCTTCGAGCACAGCAAAACAAAACTCACTGTGTGTTTGTTAGTTAGTGTTGTGAACTCACAGACAAAATTTTCGATATGGTTCGTACGGTCTCTCTCCATGATGCAGCTCGATAAATTTGGAATTTGTATCACAGCTTGTATAGAAATACATTTCAGTATTCATACATTGATAAAACTTAAATGATAAAGTTCAAACACAAATTTTTCCAAAAGAATATAATCACTAAAAATCTAAACAGTAATTTTATTTGTCTAGATTCTCACTAT